TAAACGTGAATGGATTAAATGCTCACACCAAAAGACACAGGCTCGCTGAATGTATACAAAAACAAGACCTGGACATATGCTGTCTACAAGAGACCAACTTCAGACCTAGGGACACATACAGAATGAAAGTGAGGGGATGGAAAAAGATATTCCATGCAAATGGATATCAAAAGAAAGCTGGAGTAGCAATACTCATATCAGATAAAATAGACTTTAAAATAATGTTACAAGAGACAAGGAAGGACACTACATAATGATCAAGAGACCAATCCAAGAAGAAGACATAACAATTATAAATTTTTATGCACCCAACATAGGAGCACCTCGATACATAAGGCAACTGCTAACAGCTATAAAAGAGGAAATCAACAGTAACACAATAACAGTGGGGGACCTTAACACCTCACTATACCAATGGACAGATCATACAAACAGAAAATTTATAAGGAAACAGAAGCTTTAAATGACACAATAGGCCAGATAGATTTAATTGATATTTATAGGACATTCCATCCAAAAACAGCAGATTACACTTTCTTCTCAAGTGCACATGGAATATTCTCCAGGATAGATCATGTCTTGGGTCACAAATCAAGCCTCAGGAAATTTAAGAAAATTGAAATCATATCAAGCATCTTTTCTCACCACAACATTATGAGATTAGAAATCAATTACAGGGAAAAAACTAAAAAACACAAACACATGGAGCCTAAGCAATACGTTACTAGATAACCAAGAGATCACTGAAGAAATCAAAGAGGAAATCAAAAAACACCTAGAGACAAATGACAATGAAAACATGATGATCCAAAACCTATGGGATGCAGCAAAAGCAGTTCTAAGAGGGAAGTTTACAGCAATACAAGCCAACCTCAAGAAACAAGAAAAATCTCAAATGAACAATCTAACCTTACACCTAAAGGAACTAGAGAAAGAAGAACAAGCAAAACCCAAAGTTAGCAGAAGGAAAGAAATCATAAAGATCAGAGCAGAAATAAATGAAACAGAAACAAAGAAAACAATAGCAAAGATCAATAAAACTGAAAGCTGGTTCTTTGAGAGATAAACAAAATTGATAAACCATTAGCCAGACTCATCAAGAAAAAGAGGGAGAGGACTCAAATCAATAAAATTAGAAATGAAAAAGGAGAAGTTACAACAGACACCGCAGAAATACAAAGCATCCTAAGAGACTACTACAAGTAACTCCATGCCAATAAAATGGACAACCTGGAAGAAATGGACAAATCCTTACAAAGGTATAACCTTCCACGACTGATCCACGAAGAAATAGAATATATGAACAGACCAATCACAAGTAATGAAATTGAAACTGATTAAAAATCTTCCAACAAACAAAAGTCCAGGACCAGATGGCTTCACAGCTGAATTCTATCAAACATTTAGAAAAGAGTTAACACCCATCCTTCTCAAACTCTTCCAAAAAATTGCAGAGGAAGGAACACTCCCAAACTCATTCTATGATGCCACCATCACCCTGATACCAAAAGAAAATTACAGACCAATATCACTGATGAATATAGATGCAAAAATCCTCAACAAAATACTAGCAAACAGAATACAACAACACATTAAAAGGATCATACACCAAGATCAAGTGGGATTTATCCCAGGGATGCAAGGATTCTTCAGTATACACAAATCAATCAATGTGATACACCATATTAACAAATTGAAGAATAAAAACCATAGGATCATCTCAACAGATGCAGAAAAAGCTTTTGACAAAATTCAACACCCATTTATAATAAAAACTATCCAGAAAGTGGGCATAGAGGGAACCTACCTCAACATAATAAAGGCCATATATGACAAACCCACAGCAAACATCATTCTCGATGGTGAAAAACTGAAAGCATTTCCTCTAAGATCAGGAACAAGACAAGGATGTCCACTCTCGTCACTATTATTCAACATAGTTTTGGAAGCCAGAGCAATCAGAGAAGAAAAAGAAACAAAAGGAATACAAATTGGAAAAGAAGTAAAACTGTCACTGCTTGCAGGTGACATACTATACATAGAGAATCTTAAAGATGCCACCAGAAAACTACTAGAGCTAATCAATGAATTTGGTAAAGTTGCAGGATACACAGAAATCTCTTGCATTCCTATACACTAATGATGAAAAATCTGAGAGAGAAATTAAGGAAACACTCCCACTTACCACTGCAAGAAAAAGGATAAAATACCTAGGAATAAGCCTACCTAGGGAGACAAGACCTTTATGCAGAAAACTATAAGACACTGATGAAAGAAATTAAAGATGATATAAACAGATGGAGAGACATACCATGTTCTTGGATTGGAAGAATCAACATTGTGAAAATGAGTATACTACCCAAAGCAATCTACAGATTCAATGCAATCCCTATCAAATTACCAATGGCATTTTTTACAGAACTAGAACAAAAAATCTTAAAATTTGTATGGAGACACAAAAGACCCCAAATATCCAAAGCAGTCCTGAAGGAAAAAAACAGAGCTGGAGGAATCAGACTCCCTGACTTCAAACTATACTACAAAGCTACAGTAATCAAGACAATATGGTACTGGCACCAAAACAGAAATACAGATCAACGGAACAGGATAGAAAGCCCAGAGATAAACCCATGCACCTATGGTCAACTAAACTATGACAAAGGAGGCAAGGATATACAATGGAGAAAAGACAGCCTCTTCAATAAGTGTGCTGGGAAAACTGGACAGTTACATGTAAAATAATGAAATTAGAACACTCTCTAACACCATACACAAAAATAAACTCAAAATGGATTAGAGACTTAAATGTAAGTATAAAACTCTTAGAGGAAAACATAGGAATAACACTCTTTGACATAAATTACAGCAAGCTCTTTTTTGATCCACGTCCTAGAGTAATGGAAATAAAAACAAAAATAAATAAATGGGACCCTATGAAACTTAAAAGCTTTCGCAAAGCAAACTACAAACAAGACGAAAAGACAACCCTCAGAATGGGAGAAAGTATTTGCAAACGAATCAATGGAAAAAGGATTAATCTCCAAAATACATAAACAGCTCATGCAGCTCAATATTAAAAGAACAAACAACCCAACCAAGAAATGGGCAGAAGACCTAAATAGACATTTCTCCAAAGAAGACATACATATGGCCAAGAAGCACATGAAAAGCTGCTCTACATCACTAATTATTAGAGACATGCAAATCAAAACTACAATGAGGTATCACGTCACATCACATCTGATGAATGGGCATCATCAGAAAATCTACAAACAACAAATACTGGAGAGGGTGTGGAGAAAAGGGAACCCTCTTGCACTCTTGGTGGGAATGTAAATTGATACAGCCACTATGGAGAACAGTATGGAGGTTCCTTAAAAAACTAAAACTAGAATTACCATATGACCCAGCAATCCCACTACTGGGCATATACCCAGAGAAAACTATAATTCAGAAAGGCATATGCGGCTTCCCTGGTGGCGCAGTGGTTGAGGGTCCGCCTGCAGATGCAGGGGACACAGGTTCGTGCGCCGGTCCGGGAGGATCCCGTGTGCCGCGGAGCGGCTGGGCCCGTGAGCCGTGGCCGCTGGGCCCGTGAGCCGTGCCCACTGAGCCTGCGCGTCCGGAGCCTGTGCTCCGCAATGGAAGAGGTCACGACAGTGAGAGGCCCGCGTACCACCAAAAAAAAAAAAAAAAAAAAAAAAAGGCATATGCACCCCAATGTTCACTGCAGCACTGTTTACAATAGCCAGGTCATGGAAGCAACCTAAATGCCCATCGACAGACGAATGGATAAAAAAGATGTGGTACATATATACAATGGAATATTACTCAGTCATAAAAAGGAACAAAGTTGGGTCATTTGTAGAGACGTGGATGGATCTAGAGACTGTCATACAGTGTAAAGTAAGTCAGAAAGAAAAAAACAAATATTGTATATTAATGCATATATGTGGAACCTAGAAAAATGGTACAAATGAACCAGTTTGCAGGGCAGAAAAAGAGCCACAGATGTAGAGAACAAACGTATGGACACCAAGGGGGCAAAGTGGTGGGGGTGGGGGGTGTGACGAATTGGGAGATTGGGATTGACATATATACACTAATATAAATGTATAAAATGGATAACTAGTAAGAACCTGCTGTATAAAAAAATAAATACAATTCAAAAATTAAAAAAAAAATCTTGGCAGAGGGGTGCTGGTAATCTGATAGCTTCCTCAAAAGGCGCTATATTTTTTTAATTTTCAAAGCCCTCCATGGGGCTAAGCCAACAGCTAGCGTAATCATACATGAGTTTCACATGTAATTAGGAGAATTACTAGAAGTTTATGCAATGTTTCTCGTATTTAAATGTTTAACTGGTTCTTGATTCAGCCAACAGTTGGAAGACAGAATAGCCTTTGTTGATAGTTTTCAGATTCAGATTAAACCAAACCTTGTAGTCAGACGGTTGAGAGCTCAAGAGGAGGAGGGAGGAACTCCAATAACTTGTTGTTTTGCAAAATGCTAGTCCCAGTGAAATAGAAGGAAACACTCTATAAGGCATAACCTTGGTCTCCAAAAAGGACACACTAAAAACTGCAGGGATTTAACATGGAAGCCTTATTCATGCTATCTTGGTTAAAATTAATGAGCTGCAAAGAAGTGTTAATTTACCTACAGTGACAAAAAGATTTGGGAGATAGCATGTGAGGATTTTATGTGAGGTTGCAAGAGGATTCAAAGTGATTCCTCAGCAAGCAATACCCAAAAGACTGCAGCAGCCAACTCTAGGTCTAGTAGATATCCTGGTGCTGCAACAAACATTCAGAAGGCTTCAGAAGGCACTGAGTAATTCTCTTGGCAATCATAAATATAATACTGAGTTAGGAAATCCTTTATATAAAAGCAGAAGGGAAATTTATTTTGCCCTTTAATGAAATATTCTATGGATAACCTTGCCTTTTAAGATAATTTATATTTAGTTTAAGCTCAGTCAATAAATGTGTATTTTGAACATCAGGAATGACTTTAATCATAGTGTTAATTTCATTTTACTTCTGCTAATCAATTTTATACATAAAGTAGTTCATATGTTAAACAGTATGTGAACCAAAATTAGGAATATAAACCCTTCCTAATGAGGTACGCTGACAGTTGCTTAAAGAAAAATATACTTTTTTAATTACCAGAGAGGACATAACACAAAGTGGTATTAAAAAACCTTTAAAAAATGATACTATACAATTTCCACTAATACTGGCTTTGAATTTGTGTTTTTTGATATGATAATTCCAGTTCATTTAAAAAATCACAATATTATAGAAAATGTAACATTCTTTTTAGATACAAATACCACCATTGACTCAGAATACTTACAATAGCAAAGGACATCATGTAATATAATGCTTGCCATATTTTGCTTTTTAAAGAAATAATACACTTATGTTTGTGTTGAAATGGTAGTTTTTAAAAAAAAGATTAGACTTAATGTAAAGGCCATAGAGTTGATTATTTGTGCTCCCCTGCAAATGGAAACATCCTTTTTCCTACTCATTGTTGAGTTAGATGAAAATTCAGATTCTATCCCTTTGCTATAATTCCTTGATGATGTAACATTATCTCATACCAAAAGAGGTACATAACAGTAGAAATACTTTTGATAATTTACTGGAATTTCATTTCACAGTTACTGAGGTAGAAACTGGTCATGTGTTTTTCCATTAAAAGATACAAAAATTCATCTAAATGTATTGATTCAAAGACATGCGTTTTTTTCACCAGCTGTTTTATAATCATAATTTCCAAACCACACACTGCATGGAAATTTGCTCCTTGATGTGTGTTTTTTATTTACAAAGACTTACCACTAGTGAGAATGTTACAAAGTAACACTGTAAAACACACTGAGAAAACAGTATGGACTGTGTCACAAACAGCTAGGTACTTTAGAATTCAGTGTGAGTCTCAGAAATAACTCTGACCATTAAGTAAACATCAAATTTTTAATAAATAACATACATGAAAAACAAACATTTTATAAAAATTACCTTATACCTAACAAAATAATTTCTTTGATGAAGATTTTGGTTGGATTTATCCTGGCAGTGTTCACTTATATAAAATTTTTGTACTGCATTTACTCTATTCTAATGAAATTCCACCCTTTTGGAATCACACAAGAGATGAAACAAATACAGCTACAATATTGTGCCTTCTTGAAATGCTTCTATCCACCTATAAGAGAAAGTTGTTAGATTTTAAAATAGAATCATCCAATATATGTTACGACAGTATAGATAATAGCTGTGCCTGTGGATCCAATTACTCTAACAGTATATTTAAGATCTTTCCTATAGCAAATGAGAATTCTGTATGTATAGAACTACCCTTTATTTGGTAATCTGGACCAAACTTTGGCCTGAAAAGTGTATCTCTTACTTCTTTCTCTTTTTTGACCACACCACACAGCTTGCAGGATCTCAGTTCCCCAACCAGGGATAGAGCCCAGGCCCTGACAGTGAAAGTGCCGAGTCCTAACCACTGGACCACCAGGGAATTCCTGTGCATCTCTTATTTCTTTGAAGCATGAGGAAGGGGCCATTTCATGTAAAGGCTCTATGAAGTTCTACTGATCCCATTTAATTGATTTTGGAAGTGGATATATCTGCAGAGGCCTTTATTTCAACCCCCTTTCTGCCTTTGGGAATACTAGCTCTGTCCCTGTCTCCTCATCTCTTAATTCTACCAACCAGAGACTCCTTGGGCATCTGTAGTCCAGACCTATTCTAATATTTTCAGTGAAAGGGAATCTAGCATCTAGTAGTCTACTCTCAGTTGATCTAAAGTTTGCATGCAATATAAAAGTGTCTCACTTTCATAGAAGTCTTTCTAAAATTCTTTTGCCTCAAAAGTTTTATTTGACAATATACACAGCTACAATTATTCAGAAGACACTTGGAGGTAGTTTCTTTGTACCTCCCCAGTGGTGTAATGGCTTCTAAACTTACCATGAACACTTGAAATCATTCAATGTAGTTAGTAAAAGTAGCCTGTAGCAGATTTATCTCACATTTTAAGGATGGACTTTTAAAAAAAATTTTAAATGCAAAAGGCATATAAGTTATACCATAATAAAAAGGCTTTTTAAAAGTCAAAAGTTTCCATTAAAATTAACACATTTTAATATTCTATAATGTGCAAATACAGCAACGCATATGATATTAACCTAAAGAGAAATTTATAAATTAGCCTGTATTAATTCTAAATATCAAGTAAGCTGATACCCTTCACCCAACTACATTTAGCTCTGTCTTGAAGGGCTTTCTATCTTGTCAACTTAATGACATAAAGATATATATTCAAAAGCTTATCAGCTTGATGATGAATTCAGGTAAAAATGATGAGAAATATAATATCCAACAGAATTTTAGGGCAATTACTATTTTATCCAAGTAACTATTTTTTAAAGAAAAAATAGTTGTGTCATAATTTAAAAATATTCTTCAGTACTCAAAAGTACCTGATTATTATTCAGGAACATATGTAATTCTGGTACATTAATTTTAACTACCTAAAGAAATGACAAGCCTGGCTTATTTAAAGTATTCTTTTTGATCTGCATGCACTTTTAAAGCCTATTGAGAAAACATGAGCACCTCTTAGTGAAAACAAAATGTATATTTTGTGAGGCCAAAATGAAAATCAAATGAAAGGGAGGCGAACTGAATTGTTTTGTTCAGAAAGGACCTCAGTTTCACAGAGATATGCTTCTCTATGTTAAGCAACCTTATGACATCTAAATAAATATTCTTGTTGGAATTTTGAAGAGACTATTTCAGCCTTTTCCACCTAAAATGATATCCATTTCTTTCTACTCAGTCATTGGGAACAGCATGGGAGCCTCTTAATGTGTTTGACCTTTTCTCCAAAGGAGTAAGTCAGCAAGCAGCTGTTTAAACCCCTGCTGTTCCATGGCACAATTGAATCATTGGATTGCCAAAGTCCCAGAATGTTTCAAGAGAAGATTCTTAACCTCATTGGAGGAGAGGTCAAATAACCTCAGCTTCCCTTCCTTTCAGCAGAGGAGAATCATGCTGCTTCCTTGAAGGTCATGTGTACACAAAATATTTTGGACAGAACTACCTATTTTCTTTCCCTCTCTGCCTCCTGAAAATATTCCAGATACTCTTGCCTGTCTTTAAAACAATTCTAAAGAGTTTGAATAATACGTTAAATTCTTTCTAAATGGTATGTCTGATTTAAATTCTTCGTTGTTTCCATGCATGGAAGTAGGTTATTTTTAAAATCAATCAGTTAAAGTAACAACTTGAAATCTAATGTATGAAAGAAAAATATGTCTAAATTACTTACTTCTGAGCCGAGTGAGCATCATCTGCTTTGAATACATAAAATAACATGTTTTTGTGCAGTAACTGAAACACTCTCGACTCTGAATTCTCATCTTTGACTTGAGTGACAGTGAATCCTAGTAAAGGTTGACTCTCCAAAGCTGCCACATCCTAAATTTACAAAGACACAAAAGGAGATGGGTTTCTAAATGGATACAAAATTCAGATCTGCAAACTCTTGATCTATATAACTCTAACTTAATTTCAAATACATATATATAAAACAATGGTAATTCTAGCAACTTATTCACCTTTCATTTACTCAACGATATTTATTGGGACATCCCTGCCCCACCTACACCATGAGCCAGGCACTATGCCAGACAGTTTTCAGCGTGTTCATATCCACTGAATTTCACATAATTTCTCTACAACCACAGGAGGTAAGTAATTATATTACTTTCATTTTATGGATGTAGAAAATGTAGCTCAGAAAGGTGATATACCCCAGTCCCACCGAACCTCTGCCTTTAGTGAAGTAGTCAGTAGTCACATGGCACTCCCCAAACTTACATTTTAACACTATGGAAAATTCCTAACATTTCTGAGTAAGAGCTCTTTAGATACAAAACAAGGACACTGTTCATGTCAAAAATAATAGCAACATCTCCCCCCTCCCAAAGCAAAGTAAAACAAAAAACAGAGACAAAACAAATAAATTAGGTAAACATTGTAATTATTTCCAGGTAGCATTATAAAACAAGACCCTCAAATTATTCATGTTTAGATTTCAGATCTTACCTCACTTGCAGCATACGTATATAGCACTTTATTTTTTATGACAAACCACAAGTGTTTCCAAGGTTTTTTATTGCCCTTTGATCTGTACAAGTAGCCACTCATAGAAGAATCTTCTGTGTTTGCTGATACCTAGGTAAGCAAACCCCACACACAGTTTAATAGTTTTCATACAAAAACAAAATTTAAAATCACAAAATTGCTTTTGATCATTGGTGCTGAAAGCAATAACCATAATAAGAATATCATGTTTCAGAATGAAATTGTTTATTTTCAAAATCTGCTACTGTACAAATTGAATACTGCCATGCCATGAGCATAAAATCCTTCCTTTTAGAAGCAATTCCAGAATTTTACCTGGTTTAGCTGTGCTTGCATGTATGTGTTTCTTTGCGGGTTCACCTGTATCTTCTCGGTTGCCAGAAGATGAATAATAATTCCACATGTCAAAAATGCCTTTTATTTTTATTTAAGATCCATCCACTTTATTTTTTAACATCTTTATTGGAGTATAATTGCTTTAGAGTATTTTTTTTTTTTTTGCGGTACACGGGCCTCTCACTGTTGTGGCCTCTCCTGTCGCGGAGCACAGGCTCTGGACACGCAGGCTCAGCAGCCATGGTTCACGGGCCCAGCCGCTCCGCGGCATGTGGGATCTTCCCGGACCGGGGCACGAACCCATGTCCCCTACATCGGCAGGCGGACTCTCAACCACTGCGCCACCAGGGAAGCCCCGCGTTACAGTATTGTGTTAGTTTCTGCTGTACAACAAAGTGAATCAGCTATACATATACATATATCCCCATATCTCCTCCCTCTTGCATCTCCCTCCCACCCTCCCTATCCCACCCCTCTAAGTGGTCACAAAGCACTGAGCTGATCTTGCTGTGCTATGTGGCTGCTTCCTACTAGCTATCTATTTTACATTTGGTAGTGTATATATGTCCATGCCACTCTCTCACTTCGTCCCAGCTTACCCTTCCCACTCCCCATGTCCTCAAGTCCATTCTCTACGTCTGCGTCTTCACTCCTCTGCTGCCCCTAGGTTCTTCATAACCTTTTTTTTTTAGATTCCATATATATGTGTTAGCATACGGCATTTGTTTTTCTCTTTCTGACTTACTTCACTCTGTATGACAGACTCTAGGTCCATCCACCTCAGTACAAATAATTTCGTTTCTTTTTATGGCTGAGAAATATTCCATTGTATATATGTGCCACTTCCATGTCCTGGCTATTGTAAATAGAGCTGCAATGAACATTGTGGTACATGACTCTTTTTGAATTATGGTTTTCTCAGGGTATATGCCCAGTAGTGGGATTGCTGGGTCATATGGTAGTTCTATTTTTAGTTTTTTAAGGAACCTCCATACTGTTCTCCATAGTGGCTGTATCAATTTACATTCCCACCAACAGTGCAAGAGGGTTCCCTTTTCTCCACACCCACTCCAGAAAAATGCCTTTTTAAAATTGTATTTTGGGACAGTATATATTGTTTATTGCTCCTCTTATTTTGGGTGTTAGGGAAAATTACTTAAACCTTTAACTCAGTTTCTGAAATAACTTTCTGGATTTCTAAAAACTTTATCAATAGAAAAGTAAATAGAAAATTCTTTTTTTTTGGCCATGCCTGCATGGCTTGTGGGATCTTAGTTTCCTGACCAGGGATCAAAGCCGGGCCCTGGCAGTGAAAGCAGAGAGTCCTAACCACTGGACCACCAGGGAATTCCCAGAAAATTCTATTATTAATGGTGATTTTTTTTAAAAAAATATTTATTTATTTATTATTTTTGGCTGTGTCGGGTCTTATTGCGGCACACAGGATCTTTCGTTGCCGCATGAGGGCTCGTTGCAGCACTCGGGCTTCTCTCTAGTTGTGGCTCTTGGGCTCCAGAGCATGTGGGCTCTGTAGTTGTGGCACGCGGGCTTAGTTGCCCCGCGACATGTGCGATCTTTGTTCCCTGACCAGGGATCGAACCCAAGTCCCCTGTATTGGAAGGCAAATTCTTAACCACTGGACCACGAGGGAAGTCCCTTAATGGTGATTTTAAAGATCAGTTTCTGCTCCCCAAATTTTGGTCTAAAAGAAAAGAAGCTTGTTTTGCTTCATAAAAGGCTGAAAGTGTTTCAATCTCTAGGTAAAAGACACTAAGCCTTCAGTGATTATAATATGGCAGTTGAAACTTTTCTCTTTTTAAATATAGGAAAAATAGAGATATAAAAGCCAAGTTTAGGAACTGCCTTATTGGTGGTATGGTGAGCAGACTCCCAAGGTGGCTTCCCACTGAGAATCAGGCTGTTGTAGCATCTCCTCCCCTCCAGTGTGGGCAGGACCTGTGACTGCTCCTAACCAACAAAATATGGTGAAGGTGATGCGCTATCACTCCCATGATTATATTACATTACATAAGACTCCATCTTGCTAGCAGACTGGCTCTAGAGACTTTCTACCATGCTGGCTTTGAAGAAGTAAGCAGACATGTGGGGAGGCCCACGTGGCAAGGAGCTAAGGGCAGCTCCTAAGAGCAGGGTAGATCTTTCCCTAGTCAGCCCCCAGATGAGAACTCAACACTGGCCAACACCTTGACTGCCGCCCTAAAGAGATCCCATCTAAGCTCCTGAGATAATAAATGTGTGTTATTTTAAGCCACTACATTTGTGGTAATTTGGTACAAAGCAATAGAAGACTAATAGAGATGGGGTCTATGAATTTTAAAGTATATCTCTAATCATGTAGTAATTGTATTAATTTCTTATACATTTCATAAAAAGGATGATATATTGTTTAGTGGAAATTTTATTTATTTATTTATTTATTTATTTATTTATTTATTTATTTATTTATTGGCCATGCCGGGTGGCATGCGGCATCTTAGTTCCCTGACCAGGGATCGAACCCGTGCCCCCTGCATTGGGAGCGTGGAGTCTTAACCACTGGACTGCCAGAGAAGTCCCAAGTGGAAAATTTATATCTAATGTTAAATTAGAAATATCTCTCAAGTGCAAGTAAATTTGTATACAGAAATAACATCCCTGTATAGAACTACTAAGTAATTTTTTTAAAAAACTAAAATGTTTACATTCAAAGGAGTTTTCTCTTAAAATGTAGTCACATTGGGATACCCACTATGTACTTATGTTAAGTGTTACTATCATTGCCCAAAATATTTTGTACATTACTCTTTTGGAATATTTTACAATTAATTTATTAGCCATAAAAGATTAATCCCAATACTGAATAGTCATACATAGTCCTCTATTATCTTTTTAAAAGCAAAATTGGTGTTAACCAGCTTAATCACCTAACTGATTCACAAAACTTTCCTTCCAATGATTTATTTAAAAAATAAATGGGTTTCCCTGGTGGTGCAGTGGTTAAGAATCCGGCTGCCAATGCAGGGGACACGGTTTTGAGTGCTGGTCCGGGAAGATCCCACATGCCGCAGAGCAACTAAGCCCGTGCGCCACAACTACTGAGCCTGTGCTCTAGAGCCCACGAGCCACAATTTGTTAGCCCATGAGCCACAACTACTGAAGCCCGTGTGCCTAGAGCCCGTGTTCTGCAACAATAGAAGCCACCGCTATGAGAAGCCCACACACTGCACCAAAGAGTAGCCCCCGCTTGCAGCAACTAGAGAAAGCCATGCACAGCAACGAAGAACCAAAGCAGCCAAAAATAAATAAATAAATAAATTTTTAAAAATAAAAATAAAAAATAAATGAAATCCAACTCAAGAGACGCAGCCCGCCATTACTGAGGGTGCTGAGGCTCTGAATGTATGTAATTCTAAAAAAGAGGAATTTCTAAAAATGTACTGAACATCACTAGAATAAGAACACAACTTCCTAATTCCTCAAAAAGTTAAACATAGAATTACTGTATGATCAAGCAATTTCACTCCTAGGTATATAACCAAGACAAATGGAAACATAAGTCCACATGGAAATCTGCACACAAATGTTTATAGGAACATTATTCACAATAGCCAAAAGGTGGAAACAACCCAAGTGTCCATCAATCGATGAATGGCTAAGTTGTAGTACATACATAAAAAGGAGTACTATGCAGACATGAAAAGAAACAAAGTGCTGGGCTTCCCTGGTGGCGCAGTGGTTGAGAGTCCGCCTGCCGAGGCAGGGGACACAGGTTCGTGCCCTGGTCCGGGAAGATCCCACATGCCGCGGAGCGGCTGGGCCCGTGAGCCATGGCCGCTGAGCCTGTGCATCCGGAGCCTGTGCTCTGCAACGGGAGAGGCCACAACAGTGAGAGGCCTGTGTACCGTAAAAAAAAAAAAAAGAAACAAAGTGCTGATACATGCTATAACTTAGATGAACCTCAAAAACATTGTGCTAAGTGAAAGAAGCCAGACACAAGGGTCATATATTGTATGACTCCTTTTATATGATAGATCCAGAATAGGCAAATACATAGAGCAGATCCATGGTTGCCAGGGGTTGGAGGGAGGGGGTAGTGGGGACTGATTACTTAGCAGACACAGGGTATTCTTATGAGGTGATGAAAAAGTTTTGAAATTGGAGCAATATGGCAGTTACACATCACTGTGAATACACCAAATACTACTGAATTGTATATTTTAAAATGGTTAATTATATGTTATGTGAATTTCACCTGAGTTTTTTAAAAAAAGACAAAAAATACAGCTTTCTGAGGAGACTACTTTGACTTTTATAGCACTTAACTGGATAAATTTCCCCATGTGACCACAAAGGAGCAAGGCAATGGCCCTCAAACTTTAGTACACATATATCTGAATCACCAAGAATGCTGGTTAAAGTTTCTGATTGTGGGTGGGCCCAGGAATCTGCATTTCTATAAGTTCCCAGGCGGTGCTGCTGCCGATCTGGAGGATGCTTTGAGAACCAGTGGAGCCAAGGGAGAAATGGCTGCAGCCAGGAAGGCCTGTTTGTGTGGCTGGGTGAAAAGATGTAAAAAAAAGGATTGGAATTAGGTTGAGTCTAGTCTACAGACCATAACGAGTTTTGGTAGCCAGTGCTGTGGAGTTTCGACTAAAGAGGGGAGCACAGGTAAGAATTATATTTATAAAATGTGACATCAGCATGGAGAGGTGAAAAATTACAGAGAACTTAACATTAATTTGGTTGGTTAAGAACCTTAAGGTTTTTGAATGTACATTTAGATTCAGGAACTGTGTGATGGAAGAAATACAGTTCAGGGGTATTCACTCAGTTGGCTTACCCAGTTCCACATGAAACTTGGCAAATGGAACTGTATGTAAGTCCTATTTTTACTATATGAGATTGGCTATAAATCACTTCCTAGTGTTTCAATGGCCATGATGAAATACACTCAACTTTACATGAGAAACATGATCCTGGTCAAATTTTTAGAGCTGTTTGCTCTTCCATGATGGAAGACCTCCACAGCAACCAAGCAAGAGAACAGAATTTAAAACTACTCTCCTGGCCACAAAACTAGCATGGGTAGAACTAATTAATAAAAATCAAAATAGGAGTGACCAGAAAGGCAGGACTGTCTGAATTCTTGACACGGGCTGACTGAACACCTGAATTTGAGGAACTGGGATAGGATATCATTGATGCCTGTGGATTTACTCCAGAGGCAGGTCTAACTCTGTAGTCTATTATCACTTAAAATTTTTTTCTTTTAAGTTAAAGGAAGAACAACATACTATCAGTGATGTCAGCTGTATATAACCAACTAACGCCTATAAAAAACAAGCCATGCAGATGAGTAAATGCTAATAAAATGCCCCAAATATTCTATAGACTTCTTCCCTCTCCTCAAAGGAGAAAGGAAGGGGTCTCCTCAAAGTAATTTTAAAAATTCACACGTGTCCAAGTTATCTTTCCTTTCTATCATTGCTATAAAATGTTCTCCAAACCTTTCAACAGGCATTTTCTAAATGACTCAGGTCATAAGGGAGATCAAGCAAGATAGTGAGGCCTCAACCACATCCATCACCAGTATTAAAATGCATGTCTTAATAGTGGTGGGAAATGACGTCTTCCTTTATGAAAGAAAAATAGTGTATTATAAGTGTATGAATAATTCAGCCTCTATCAGGTTGCAAGTCTAATGGAAACACTTACTTCTTTGAGAGCAGCTGGGATTTTTTTCTGTTTCCTCCCTGATGGAATACTATGTAAGACTGATGATAAGGTGCTTGAAGGAGATTTGTGATTTCCAGGAGATCCAATCTTAGGAGAGTGCTGGTGATCTAAAACAAATCAGGTACACTTATATAACCAATGGTAAGCATTCTGCAATTCAATTTAATCCAAATCAATAAACGTTGTTGCATAAATATCCATGGAAGGATACTTAAGAAACTTATGACACTTCCCCAGGCTGGAAGTTGAGTGGGAGGAAGACTTCCCACTGTCTATGATTTTATACTTTTTCAACTGCAAGCCATATGAACGGATTGACCTTTTGTGCCTTAAGAATTCTGAAACATGTTTATGTACTACCAACTTTAAAAAAAATTGAAAAAATTTCCCTCCTGACTTTAAAAAAACCCAAACTGACAACATCATTTAGTATATAGATACAAATAATATTACAATGAACAAAATGCTAGAAAAGGGACTATAAGACAAGATGAGGAATAATTAATTTTCACTGCAGAGGTTCAAGGAAAGCTGGGAAAAGAATGAGAGTTTTGAGTTAGCATTAAGGTATAAGTAGGAGTTTGCCAAGCTAAAAAGCGGAGGAAGAACACTCCATGAAGACAAGTCAGCATAAGCAAAAGCACACAGATATGAAATTAGTTCATCTATTTGGAGGTGAGGCTGGGAAAAAAATGGCTGGTTCTAAGGACTGTCTTTTAGGCAGTAGGAAATCAAAGAAAGGCCTTTTGGGCTGGGAAGTAACACGAGCAGACTGAATTTAGAAAAATAAATCTGGCAGTAGGAAAGAGGAAGGATTTGCAGCAGAAAAACCTGTTAAGAAATTAGGACAGTAGTCCACATGAAAGATAATGAAGGCTTTGTTAAGGCTGAGGTGGATAAATAATTCAAGAGCAAGACAGGTTTTTCAAACATAAATTTGACAAGATTTACTGACCAAATGGGTGTGTGTGATGAGGGAGGAGTATTCAAAAATGAATTTTGAATGTTTGAGCCTATATTATATACCCAGAGAACAAAGGGAGGAACATAAGGGTGGCAAAAGATTAGATGGACGTGTCTTTTTGGAAAATGTATACAGATAATAACAAACGATTCCTCTATAAATATATGGATTCTGAAATGGCATGTCATCTAGTTATATTCATTTAGATATTCTCATTGATGATGAAAAGCTATTCTTCATCGACATGAAGGATAATCTTTTAAAAATTTAGATCCTTTAAGTTTCAGGATCTCGTCCCAAAATATAGACCTGAACTGCATTCACCTTAACTGTAGGGATGGATACTTGCAAATAACGAACAGGCAGATTTGATTTATCATTTTGTAGTTGGCGAAAAGCTGCACATTTAGATGTAAAATAAAACCTCACTACATCAGTCCAAGTGATTAGAATAAGGCTAACAAAGTGCCACCTAGTATGTTTCCATAGAGAATTACTTTACTAATAGATAAAAATGATTTGTAATGCGCACACAGTTGTGAAACTAGAAACTTGAAAATTGTTTGGAAGTTCAAAGTTCCCCTGTAACTACTCCAAGCATTTCATCCTGTGATTTCATTTCTACAATCAGGATCCTCAGCAAAACCGTTTTCAGAGTAAAAATAAGTTTCAGTCCAACCTTCCTTGGAATTACCACAAAATATGAGTTAAGAAAGCTTCACTAAGTTAAGAAAGCAAGATACTTAATATTTTGAGAGAAGTATCACCAATCATATTGCTAATGTGCCTAAGATGATTCTTTCAGAAGGTTGTCTGAAAGTATCTGGGGAATAATGGAATTTTCAATTAAATCTTTACTTATATATTACCTAATTTCTGCAGTTCTTGGAAACAATGTTCACATACTCTTGCTGGTTGATTTTTCAGGTAATCTAATCCATATTTATTTGATGAACAAGCTTGGCATACAATCTGAAAACACATTGGAATTATTTCATTTAGAATAACCTTTGTATCTAAACCATCAGTTATGTTACAATTTATAGTTCTGTCTAGTTTTCAAAACCTTTTCATAGTCACTGAGTCTGAATAAAAATTCAGTGGAGCTCAGGCATGTAGGGAACTCACACACAATACCACACTTGAAGAGGCCACAGATTATTACTGAGTGCTTACTACAGATAATAATATACTAAAGGAGTTAACATGTGCAAAATGTTTAGAATAGTGCCCGGTGCATAGTAAGTCCTGTGTTAGCTGTATTTATCATCTTCGTCATCATCGTCATTGTCATCGTCACTGCTGCAACTATGAACACCTCTGCCGTGCCTCTTCCCAGTGTCTGGCCCAAATTAAATGCTGTCTAAATAAGACCCATTAAATCTTTATAGTAACTCTCTGATGTCATTGTTACGATGCTCATTTTACTAATAACATCACGAAGACTCAGAAACATCACTAGTGATAACTTCAACACTGAAAGTTTCCTCCTACTAAGAACTTAGTATTTAGATAAATGCAGTTTCAATAATTATCTGTAAATGTGAGCATCTATTTAATTTGAATTTATTAGTTTTTTTAAAAATGAACATGATCTATTATTGACATTCTGAAGTAATCTTGGGCTAGGAAGAGCTAAGTTCCCTAATAAGATTGCCTTGTGCCTAAATATGTAGAGGAGATATCACCTACGATTCAGTGTCTCCCCCGACCCCCAATGGTTTACAAGGAGAAACATGCTTCTTCGTTAGGTACAGCTTAGAGCTATTGAAAATCACAAGGGAGGTGAGTGTGATCCTCTCTAACCTTTCCACAGGCCCGACAGTGATGTCGTCTCCAGGTCAGAGTAAATTCACTTGTGCAGATCATACACATCGTAGCTCTGGTATCAGGAATCCAGATGGGAGCCTTGGATCCAAGAGGACTAACTTCATCTTTATTTTCTGAGTCGGCCTGTGGAAGAACGACTTCTGATTATCTCTATGCACACTGCCTGCTACAGCATCAAGCCTTTTTATTTGGACTGGCAGCTCACAATGCTGATGGTATCATTAAGGATGTGGATGAAATATGAGCTATCATATTTTTCATGTTATTAGGATATTAAGATTAGCTACATTCCAACAATCCTCTAGTGCAAAATTAACTTTAAAAGATGCCTGAGGTAGTGCAATAACAGCCAATTAGTTTCTTCCTTAAACTATATTGTATTTTCTACAATGAGGTTTTATAACTAGAAAAAATATGAATGCACTATATGCTATCATAGACTTGTAGTTAGACATTAACAGAATGAATATTTAGCTCTGAAATTACGCACACACCTCCAATCCTTCTGTGAAACACATGTTGCTTTTCTAAACGCCTGGGAAAAGTTTCTTTAAGGTAAAAACTATTTGAAATGCACTGCAAAAACATAAGAAGGAAAAGACAATACCTCATCAAGACTCCTACTGGGACAGAATGTGATTCTTTTCTTGGCATACTCTTCTATTGACCTGGAAATTGCTTCTAGCCATTCATCCCTTTCTGGGGCAGAACTGTTGGGGGCAAAAGAAAGTTCTATCAACCAGATGTCAGCTTTTATTCTTTGCCTTTTTCTTACGTCTTTTCCTTCTGCCATGGCAACAGATTCCACCACCCTCCAACAATGCTAGTCCCAGGCAACAACTCTGAGGTTTACGTGCACAAATAATCAGAGCAGGCATTAGAGAACACACGGCATTTTAGCAAACACAATGCTTTTTTTCTTTCCAAAAATACCGCTTTCTACTGAATGGCTTTTGAAGTCTCCTAAATTTAGAGGTATTTTTGTTTGGTTTAAAGGCTATTCATGCAATTAATAGTTATGATTATTTATATAACCAAGGAGTTTCCTGAGATATAATCCTAGAATTTAAAAATATTCCAAGAAATCAAGTTTCAAATCCAAATTTACAGCACAGAATACTAAATATTTTTAGGTTACTAAATATTCTAGAAAGGGCACTGGAGTAAAGGAAACATATTTTTGGTGTCATAAATAGATGTTGAAGGAGTGGTTAATAAGGGAAATAGCCTTCAGTGGTTGTTAGGGTTCCTCTACCTATTCGGCCCATCACATTTTCTGTTCTTAACCCTCAGTTCATCAGGAGCTATGCGACTCGAATGTAGATGGAAATGGGCGAAATAGGGGGAAAGCCTGCTCAGAAAAACACATTCTTGTCCTCTGTTTTTGCAACCACACCTCCCTCTAAAAAAAATTCTATGGTAACTCAGAATCATCACTGGTATCGCCCATTTTGTTTTGCATACTCAAGAGGGAGAGGCACATTTTAGGTATTGTGTGTGTATGTGTGTGTGTTTGTAGAAAGACAGAATTTAATAATAAATTTAAATCTCTATCATGATAAAACCCATCATAATAATGGGAATGTGATTGTATAAGAAAATGTACACTTTCCTTTTTTTAAGAGAAGCATATACTAAAGTAGGTAGGAGTAAAATGACCTGATATTTGCAATTTGTTTTGAAGTACTTTAGAAAACAGGAAAATTTGTGGCAGAATCTTGGTAATTTTTGAGTCTGGGTGACTGAATATGCAGTTTCATTGTATTATTCACTCTAATTTTAAGTATATTTTAACTTTGAAATAATGACTCTAAAATGAAAAATTCCATCACAAAAAATGATACAAATAGGCCTATTTTGATGAATCCAGAGCAGGTCAAGGAGCTAACTTTAAAAACCACTCACCTTCCCCACAATAATCCTTCTCAGAAATGTATCTTCCTGCTAAATGGCTTCAGTGCCTTTTAGAAAATGCACTCATATGGATGTTAAAAGGAAGATATCCAGTTTACAAATAAGATTTTAAAACTAGTATATTTCTCAAAGTTTCATTATATACCAAAACCAAAATAAAATGGGACAGCCCCTCTCTCTGTAAACCAAACAAAACCTGCCTCAGTTACCTCTACTACTCTATCATCGCTGCCCCAACTAGCTACCACTGACTTAACACTTACTACGTATCAGCCAACTATGCCGAATGCTTTCTTTGCAAATAATACTTCTCATCCTCAGAGGTACCCCATGGAATATACATTGGATCTTACACTCCATTCCCCCAATCCCAACGTCACACACCATCACCATTTACAGAAAAGCCATGTGAGGATCTGAACTGTTAGATAATTTGCTTTAGATAACAGGCTCTGTACTCAATGGTGACTTGGTATCAGATCCAAGTGTGGCTAAGGATGGAACCCTTCACCACCATGTCACCTCTGGCCTCTGTTCCTGTTCTCTGAAGGACTACGCTATGAGAACACAGGCTCAGGTTCCAAGTAAACATTCATAAAATATTACTGTCTCCCCTGCCCTCTCTCCCTCCCCAACTTTTCACTGGAAAAAGTAACAGAAAGTCAAGAGGCAGATGGCTAATTTGAGGATTGCCGTCTGATTTTTCTGGAGCCCTGGGAGCACGCGGAATGTGACTCGACTGTGCAAATCATGTCACATATGCTGTTCTTTCATTTAATCATTCCTGGCTCTCTCTTGTGTGGGGTTCTGCCGAACAATGTTTATCAGCTGATAACACATTTCTCAGAGACCACACACACTTGCCTACAGCATCGAGTGGAGACGTTCTAGCTCTGCCTTTGTGACATGGCTAGTAGAAGAATCAGCATCTTCCTCACAGAAAAACACAGTTAAGCCAAGTATTCTTTTCTTTATGGAATGTGGACATTACCAGATAGCAAATTTGCATTAAACAAGCACCATTTCCCCAATGAATGGAAATAATTTCTAAGGGAAAAACTCTCCAACAGAAGAGATTTCTGGTGTGTTAGACCTTGCCACACTATTTACTTCTTGTGTTAACTGTGGGATGCAACTCTGAGGTCCAAAGGCCACATCACTTCAGTTTATTTGAGTAACATTTACTGGGAGCCTTCTATGGGCCAGGTACTACGCCATGAAGTGGGCACACAAAGTACACTTCACTTGCAAGGGCTCACATCTAATTGACGTGAGACATAAAGTCAGGTAAAAATTACCGTATGATATAATAAATGTAAGATAGATAAGTGACATAGAAGTAGTTAATTACCTTATTTGGGTAGCAGGGAAGGCTTTGCAGAGGTGATGACTAAGGTACTATTGGAACAACTACAGGTGTTTGACAGGGAACTCTGCGGTCTCCCTGTGCACCCTCAGCCATTCTCCTAGCTTTGGTCATCATCTCGAGGCTGATGACTCCTCAGGATATGCCTCTAGTCCAGTCTTCCTTCTGACATCCAGCTCCTGACATCAACTGCCTCCTTGATGACCCCATTTTGATGATTTATAGGCACCACACATTCAATATGCACATCTGAACCTAAATTCCTGATTTTTCTCCTAAAGCTGCACCTTTCCCAGTTTTCCTTATCACAGCAATCCAATACGCTGTACAGGCTGGAGGCTCACTTCTTCTGCCTCTCTCTGTCCCATTACTCGTCTCCTTCAGTTCCCCTCCCAAACCATCCTCCACAGAGCAACCAGATATTCTTTTAAAAAATGCCAAAATGATCACATCATTCCCTTGTAGAAACCTTTCAGTGGTTTCCTGTGGCTCTTAGGCTAAAGACCAAAATCCACAAGACGGTTCTGCATAATCTTTCTCCCTGGCCCTCCAGGTTTATCTTGGGTCACTCTCCCTCTCATTTGCTATGTTCATGACACACTGGCCTTTTAGTTCTTTGAATACACCATGTCCCTTTCCACCTCAGGGCCTTTGTACACACTGTTCCTAATGGCCAGGAGCCTCCTCCTTTTCTCTCTGCCTAGCTATCCAACACCTACTTATCCTTCTTAACTCAATAGACACAGGACTTTAGGGAAGCTACCCCTAACTGCCCTTTTTCCACCAAATCTAATTTAAGATCCCTTGTTTTACAGCCTCATAGCACCTGGTAGTTTCCCTGTATACTACTTAATCTCCCTGATAATTGACTGTGGTAATACTTGCTAAGTGTATGTCTTTCCTAATGGACTGTAAGCTCAGGGAAGGAAAGGCCCTTTTCGTTGTCCACTGTATCCTGATGCCTAGCAAAATGCCTGGCCCAGGGTAGACGCTCCATATTACTTCTTGAACAAAGGGATGCATTGTAGGTGGAGGTAGCCACCTGTGCAAGGAAGAAGGATGTGAAGTAGGCTGGCATGCATGGAGAATCATTAGCAGATCCATGCTGATGGAAGATGCCATGCTTTGGTGGGGTTGGTGACACGGAGAGTGAATGGAGATCAGGCTGGTGAGGCAGATAGGAGCAAGATCACAAGAGGCCTCCATCCCTTTTTTACCTGTTACACAGTACCTCAGTGTGGTTGGGGGAATTCAGAAGGAGAGCCTGGCATATGGGTGGCATTTAGTATGTGTTTGTTCCCTTTCTTGCATACCACCTTAACCCTCCTGTGGAAATTTACTTTTCTTTTATCAACAACTTTCCAGTTTTATCATTCTCCTGCATACCCCACATTCACTCCATCCTGATTGGCTCTACCTGATTGAACCATTTCTTACAGCTATAGCCCAGACATCACCATCTATAACCTCCTACCTGGTCTTCCAACTTCTACTCTAGTCTCTGGTGGTCTACTTCTACAAGGCAGACAGTGTGTGCTTTTAAAAATAAAAATGAGGTCACACCAATTCTTAGCTTAAAACCTTTGGATGGTTTCCCATCATACTTAAAAATCCAATGATCTTACTAAGGTCTAGGAGGCCCATCTGAAAAAACACTTGACATCCAGATATTTACCTGATAGGCAACCAAAGAAAGAAAGATCAACCATCATTTCCTGAATTGTTTAATTTTTAATAAACAGAATTTTGTTTTTATAAAAGCCTATTTTAGTTAGAAAACTTAAGTGCAACTGAAAACTTAACTTCCCTATAGGCATGTCCTCTTCGGATCTTTGAAAATAACTCTTGATTTTAAGAACCAGGCTTAAGTATTTGCCAGGAGCCTGATGTACAGGGACTTGATGTTCTTTGCACTTTTGTTCAAACTCAAGAAAGAAAGAAAAGGGTATAGTTCCAGGTGATCAAGCATTTACTTTTTTTTTGGACGTATGGGATCCTCGTTCCATGACCAGGGATCAAACCCATGCCCCCTACAGTGGAAGTGCAGAGTCCTAACCACTGGGCAGCCAGGGAATTCCCCTACTTTCACTCTCTAAATACTGATCTGGAGGATGCTTCAGGTGCCCCCTCCCTTGACGGAACTCTGCTTGCTTTCGCTGGTAGCTGGGAAGCACTTGACAAACCCTGAATACAGGAATTTGTCTTCTCCTATCATCCTGAGATTTGGTGTCAGGCAGCAGTGGCCATTCCATTTCAGAAGAGTGACACGACCCAGGGAGATGCTCTTGCGGTCTGATTTGGGAAGTTAGCACATTTGGTCTGAGTCCTTGACATCCACAGACATAGGCAATATCAGAATGGTTAAAAGCATGAATTTTAGTGTCAGATTCAAATTTCAGCTCCCCTGCTCTGCTACGTAACAGCTGGTTGGCTTTTTTCACCATAAAATGGGTATAATAGTAGCAACTTACCTTAAAAGGTTAGTGTGAAGATTTGATGAATTAATACACAGAAAGTGCTTAGGACAGTAGTCCCTGGCACAAAGTAAGCGCTACATCAATGCTTGCTCTATTTTTATTATGTCAAAGGTGAGATCTGAGAGCCGCCCAGACTTGTTATGCAGATTCAGCAACGCAGCAAGCTGTGGCTGTTGGCGGCTCTCCCTTCACCAGTCAAATCCTCCCACACATGCACTTCTACCACTCAGCCAAAACTGAATAATATGCGTGTATGAGTCACACAGCCCCAGGTTTCCTCAGTACTTGATTTACATTATGGTAATATATTTTGACTTACACATATGTCACTGTAGGTTCTGATTTGAGGCAATGTGGTATGTCATAATAACAACAGATTTAAAAGCAGAAAGTTTCTACCTGTATCCTGACTTTGCCAGCTATGCATCCTTAAGAAAGCAACTCAATTTTTCTGTAACTTAGTCTTCCTCCTTTTTATGACACCTACCTCAGTAGATTTGTTATGACCTCTGAATGCTACACGAACACTTCCTAGTAAACTATAAAGCACTAGATGTTTTTAAAAACATTACGTATCACTGTAAAATGACTTGAAATAAACCACTTTAAAAAAATGATCAGCAAAGCACTTTTCGGCATTATTATTCCATTCAGAGGAACATTTTAGTCTTTGTACTTCTAGCACACTATTGCATCAGCTCTTAGACATCCCACCTACATGGTAAATCAAGAGTAAACTGCATGGTATTAGGAGAGAAAAGCAAAGGAAATAAAATAAGTTTACTAGTTAACCTAAATGTGAAAACTGCTGGAAAATGTTTGACTCCGCAATACTGACAAATGTTCACCTATACATTTTTTTTTTTTTTTGCGATACGTGGGCCCCTCACTGCTGCGGCCTCTCCCGTTGCGGAACACAGGCTCCGGACGCGCAGGCTCAGCGGCCATGGCTCACGGGCCCAGCCGCTCCGTGGCATGTGGGATCCTCCCAGACCGGGGCACGAACCCGCGTCCCCTGCATCAGCAGGCGGACTCTCAACCACTGCGCCACGAGGGAAGCCCCCACCTATACATTTTTAAAATTTACCTGGCTGAGAGTATGAAGGAACGTTCTACACTTTCAATCTTTAGTTCATTCTGATATGCCTCTTGGGTAGGTTTTCTGACCTGGAAGAAAACAAAATGATTGAACAGACTCATCCAATTGAAAACCTCACTGCTGAAGCATAGCTAAAATTGCCCAATGCCCCCACTGCTGACAGCCACCCCCAGCCTTCATATCCAGCTTGATCTACCATCACTCTCCCTCATCTGCTCTGTGCTCCAGATGAATTTAAATACCCACATACAAGAAGGCCCAACTTACCCACCTTCAGGCCTTTGCTCACACTATTCCCTGTACCTAGAATGCCTTTCCCTACATCTCAGCGGGGCCAAATGTGACCAATTCTGTAAGGCTCTTGGCTCTTCCTCCAAAAAGACTTCCTCAAGTCTCCCTCTTCCTAACTACCACCAATCCCTCTACCATGTCCCACCAGAAGCTGCACGTTCTTTATTTTCTGAGCTCCCACAAACTTTAACTGCGCCTTTATAGTGATATGTATTACTATCTATTTTATAGGTATTGATATGCAGCGTATTAGCTTCCCAACTAGTTGCTAAACTCCTGGAGGGATTGGAGTAGAGGTGGAGACAAAAGAATCATGCTTCAATTCATCTTTATATTTTTCACTAAACCGATAACACATTTTGTTTATAGTAGTTCTCAGTATAGTAGTTCTCAATATCTTAAGACTCAATTAATGTATGAGGGAACAAATAACTACAAAAATGAATAAATGAACAGTAACACATGGAGAAAGAAGAGATAGGGATATGAGAAGATGATTATCTTAGGGCTTTTTCTCTAAATACATTTGGGTAAAAAAATATCTTCTGCAAAAAAAAAAATATATATATATATCTTCTAACAGATGCACAGACCTTCATTCCTGCCAATGAGAGCATGTTGTTCAGTTTGTACATCCCGGACTGCACCGGTGTTGTATACAACAGAGCATCATTAAACTGAAAGTAGAAACATTTCATAGGACAAAGTAAAGCAACAAATTTCAGCTACAAAGATATTGGTAAGATACAGGAATAAAGGAACAATATTACCTCTTTGTTTAAAACTCTGAATATAATACTTATATTCTGCTTATAAAACCAGAACCACCTAGAATGTTCTATTAGAATATTACTAGAAGGCAACTTCTAGAAAATGGGCTTTCTTTCCAAGTTCTATAACAGATTTAACGTTTTCTGAATTCTAAACCCCACCTAAGGTATTATAATCTGCCAAAACAAATCACTGATTGAATCAATTTTTCCAAATCAGAGATGAAATAAACTAAATTCAAAAAGGAAGTGAATTTCTAGTTATGTATCATACAAGACTTTGTTTCCTATACTTGACATGCAAACAAGCAATCCAGCCAGTCAAAGATCCTACTAAAACTGCTGTCTGAATGTGCCAATCTTATCTGTCCTGAACAACCGTCTCCTTTCATTAAGCAATTATCCCTGCCTCGGGCTCAGCAGAAACACACGTGGCCACTTACCAGGAAAAACATTCGGGGCTGCATGACTTTCCGAGATAGCTTCATCAGAATTCCTTCTTTGAGAAAAACCTGATTCATCCAAACAAACATCCATTTAGTACCCTCCCAACACAACTACAATATACATATACATGTAATTTCCTTTTCGACCTTCGTTCCCCAGAATTATTTTGTGTGGAGGCTGGGAAGACATAGTTTCCTTGTTACTTTTTACAGCCATGGCTTCTTTTTAAACCCTGTAAGTCATTTAGGAATTGGATAAGCCAGCAGAGTTTCATAACTCCAATACTGAGCCCAGGGGTACCATATGGTTTGAAATGTAATTGACTGAGTGTGTACTCGATCTTGAGACATAGCCAACATCCTGACAATTGCACTTTGTAATTTCCCTGAATTCATTCCCTCAGTCACTTTTGTGCTCTATGAAGAACATCAAAATACCAATTTTCTCCCAACCCTCATAATCTTCTCTTACATTAAAGATTTTAATTGAAATTGTCTTTAAAGCTGTGTGAGGTCAGCTAGTATTACACAATAAAATGATCCTATTTGATCAGATACTCTGTGGGGTCCCTTGCCGTTCTCCTAATTGAATTGGACTTCTTGTCACAATGACTTAAATCATGAATGTTTTGAAAGGATAGAATGAACTTAGTTGATCCAGATTGGGTCGCTGAAGAGTAACAATAACAAATAACCTATTTTCATAACTCAAATGAAAATAGCTACAAACGGTGCCTAAATCCATTGTATTAAGTTTGCAAAATGCAGTCTAAAACACTTACCCGTCCAGGCTGAACTATTTCATGGTGTCCATTTAAGCTGTACTGAATTTGCATAAGTTTCTGAAAGTTGTCCTACAGAAAGAGAATGCACAGCATATGAAGGCACGGGCTCCCAGGTTCAACAGTACAGCAGCCGTTGAAATGAAGATACTTACTCCTTGCTTCATGGTGTCATTGGCGTGGTTGGCTACCTCTATAACAACGGCAAGGGCATCTAAAATATGTAGGAACAGAAGGGGCATTCAATCACTATCATTACCAATGAATTGCAACACTGAGCAACTCCAGACAACAAGACGGCTAGTTCACAGCCACGGACCACTGCAGGAGATCAGTTAACTGTGAGTGGGCAGAAATATACGCGATGCGGTTGGATGAGAACAAAACCAAGGAAAAACAGTACTTATGAAACAATGAGCCAAAGAAAGACTCTAAAGATACATTACAGACCATGTGTATCAATAGTATGAACATCAGGGTTGTTTTGTGCTGAGAGTTGATTATTCTGTTGAAGTTTACAAGGATGAATAGGATTTTACCTGGAAGCTGAGGACCATTCCAGGATAAACTGCCTTGGGAGAGAAGGATCCTGGGATAGGAAACCAGAATTATGAGGACCAGCTATTTAAGAGGGTCAGGGCTTAGCTGCCTTCTCTTAGTCTGATCCCAAGAGGGAAGAAATGCCACAAGGAAGCATACTAGACCTTAGGAAATTACATACTTTATTTTGTGAGTTGGGTTATTTAGCTTCACCTGTGTTTTATTCTTTTTATTAACCTCTTGCCTTTATTAAATGTTTTTGAATGCTTCAGTCTTGTCATCTTCATAACTAGATATAAAGGAAAAAATCTGTACTTTGTCCCTTTTGGGCTACAGTTGTTCTCAATTCAAGACAATAGTGTTCCCCTAGGGACACTTGGACATGTGTAAGATAATTTTCGGTTGTCACAATGACTGGGAAGGTCCACTGGCCTTTAATGGGTAGGAGCCAGGGATGTTAAACATCCTGCAATGCTAATTAGAAATCCACACAAAGACGGTTATCTGGTATGACAGAAGCCCTACGATTGAGAAAAACTGGTAAGAGTGTTAAAGAAGGAAGCATGCCCTTCTGAGGCTGGTGTGGCAATGACAGTAATCGTCACTAAAAGGACTATTAAAAAAAAAAAATCAATTTCCAGAAAGGGTTTGAGGTGTTTTGGTCCAGCTACTATAACTACCAAGGGATACTCTTTCTGGTACCAACCCTGGAGGTTTCTATAGTCTTTAAATGTATTATTATCACCATTATTAAACGAAAGCTGTATTTCCTTATAGAGACTCAAACCACATATCAGAATTTACTGTATCTGGCACTCATCATGGCAGATATTCAAGAGGTGACCCTGGACACATTCCCTGCTTTCTGGCCTGCTTGAACCTCCAGCGGACAGGGATAAAAGCTTTAAAATTTAATGAATGGATGAAGTAATAAAGCTGCTGCTATTTGGTCACCTGGCCTCCAAGCTCTGACCTCCCCCATCCATTCTGCAATTCTACTTTCCTCATATCATCCCTTTAAGAGGCCCTGGTGACTCTGTTCCTTTAACTCTTCTGCTTATCTTCCAAAGGTATATTAGTCTCACTTTCCCTCACCTTTGGGCAATCTCATCACTTTACTGCATTGCCTCTGGCCATAGAGTGCACATCACTGTTCACTGCTTATCCTAAGCCATGTCTTTGCTGAAGTGTGTAATTTTCTTTAAACAAGCTCCTTAATTTCTGGCCCTGTATTTGTTTTACCTGCAAAATGGAGCTAATAACTCACTTTCCTTGAAGGCAGAAGCCCTGGGACAGATGTTTTCTTGAGGCCCGATCTGCTAAAATCTGTCTAAGATATTTATCTTCATGAGACAGACTCTGACCTGGAATGCCCACTCTTCTTCTCGTCCACCATCTCTCATCAACTCATCTCTGGTTCTACTTCCCTCTAAGCAAAGCTCTGCCTCTTCAATCCTCACACTTTCCTCCATCTTCCAAATGATTCTATACTGCTAAGTGCATCCTTACTTTAAAGCTTTCTGCTTTGTTCTTTATCTGTCGGGTATCATAGACTCTTCTCTTTCTTTTTTTAATATTTCTTTATTTATTTTGTTATGCCGGGTCTTAGTTGCGGCACGTGGGCTCCCAAGTTGCAGCATGCAAACTCTTAGCTGCAGCATGCATGCGGGATGCAGCTCCCCAGCCAGGGATCGAACCCAGGCCCCCTGCATTGGGAGCGTGAGTCAGAACCACTGCACCACCAGGGAAGTCCCTATCACAGACTTTCTTCTTCAACTAAATTATATGTTTACCAGAGACAAGAAGCATGTCATGTCGCCCACTCCAAACTTTTCCTTTAAAAAAGCACCTTTAAAAGCATAACACTTGTGAATAAAAGATGTTACAGAAAAAGTAAAATGATTAATAGAATGAATAAGAATCTCTACAAAAATGGGTTAAAAACCTTTCAGCTTTGTAATCTGATAATGTAAAGGATGCACAAGAATGTGATCAAAATTCATAAAATGAATATGGCGTGGAGATGGATTTGTCTAATGTGTTTCTGTAGATTAGAACCAGGGATAGACCTATGACATTTAAAAGAAACACTACTCTCCTAAACAGAACTAAATCCTCGTGTGTATGTGTGTGTGTGTGTGTGTGTGTGTGTGTGTGTGTGTGAGAGAGAGAGAGAGAGAGAGAGAAAGACAGCAGACATACATGCACACACACACAGACACAGACACACACAGTGGATTATCCCATGAATGTCAATGAGTCCCTTGTATTGTAATGGACTGTTTCCCTTAAGTACTACTGGGGTGAGGGAGTGGAAGGATGGTAAGGCTAATGCCCATCATTAAACAGTCCCAGAATAATAGGCTATTTTAGACCTTATCTCTAATTTGTGTTGTTTGGTCACTTCATGGACTCATGATTTTAAAGCTTGAAAGAATCTTGCAGATCAACTGGTTCAATCTCTGTTTTTGAAAGCAGTGGACATCTAGAGAAGGTGAATGCACCCCAGCACAGACAGACTGAGCCCAGGAGGATGAAGCTCCCTGACAACAGACTATGCTGGGACCACTCTCTCAGGAGGCTGGCTCCAATGGCTGCCTGACCATGGGCATCTTTTGCCCCTATAATTTCACTTGCATCCAGCACCACTTTATCTAGTTCTATTTTAATTTGCCTAAAACAGAGTTTAAAAAGGCTCTTAAGAATAAAACACAGTTTTGTATATGGGTTTTGTTACGTTTTTACTTTCCAGGTTCAAATGAACATAATATAAAACCTTCTATAACACATGAGACCACAAAAACTGTTTACCTTGAGTGTCTCTGTAATCTCCAGCGTCTTCTAAGAGATTTTTTAAATAGTCTAGAAAAGGAAAAAAAGTTATGGTATTTAGTACAATTAAGCACTAAGGAAAAAACATTTGTCTTTCTTATTCAATACTCTAGTCAGCCTTATTGGTTAATATACATATTCATTCTGTTTGTGCTACCTTTCTAAAAATGAAAGAATAAAGCCCTGGGGTCAATTTGAAATCAGGACACAAAATCAGAGCTAGAAAGAGCCTGAGAGGTTGCACTGGTTACTTTAGAGATGAGGAATCAGGCTACCGAGGACACGGTCTCACTCAAGTAATACAACCTCTTTGTGGCAGAGCTAGGACCAGAACCCGAACCCAGGTCTCCTGATGCCCAGTTCAGCTCTTTAACTCCAACACGCACAAAGTACCTTAATCTCAAGATCAGATGCACGTTTTAGTACCAAATTTCAAGCATCAATAGATTGAATGTCTAAGGAACTCTGAGATCTGGCAATCTTAAGAGTCTAACAATGCCCAGAACACCAGAAAAATGCAATACATATGTCTAAACCAGTGGTACTCAAATGGGGTCAGGTTTGCCCCCCAGGAGAAATTTAGAAATGTCTGAAGACATTTCTGATTATCACAACTGGGGGAAAGGGGATGCCACTGGCATCTAGTGGTTAGAGGCCAGAGACGCTGCTAAACATCCTACAAATGCACAGGACAGCCCTACAACAAAGAATTATCTGCACCAAAATGTCAATAGGGCTGCAGTTGAGAAACCCTGGTCTAGATGAAGATGGTCTGGGGCGCTTCCCTGGTGGCACAGTGGTTGAGAGTCCACCTGCCGATGCAGGGGACACAGGTTCTTGCCCCGGTCCGGGAAGATCCCACATGCTGTGGAGCGGATAGGCCCGTGAGCCATGGCCGCTGAGCCTGCGCGTCCGGAGCCTGTGCTCCGCAACGGGAGAGGCCACAACAGTGAGAGGCCCGCGTTCCACACACACACACAAAAAGATGGTCTGTAAATGAGCAACATGGTATATAGTGCTTCTAGTAATACGAAAAATAATTTAAGGCAATAGGTTATATTTCATAAATCCTGTAACCAAGGAACGTTACAGGATTTCAAGGTAATACTTCCTTCTCTGTTGAGAAATGTTGGATGACTTCCCATTAACTCTCAGATTAAAACAAATTCTATTTCCTGGAATTTCAAGTCCCCGCTACGCGGTCCCTGTTGACTTTTCTGCTTTTCTCTCTTGCTACTGCCTTACACAGGCCCTTTGTTCTTAAGTCTGATTCTGCACAATTCCTTAAACACTTCCCATGTGTTCCCTGGCTCCATACCTTTTGTCTTTAATGTTCCCTTCTTCTGAATCCTTTCTCTGTCTCTGCGTATAAAAATTCTACTCATAATTCTTCAAGGCTCATCTCAAATTCCTCCTCTCTTACCAAACTTTCCATTTGAAAGAAATATTCTTTCCCTTTGAATAACACATTACACAGCAGTTACTGTATGCCTTCTATCATTTTCTTTTTCACTAGACTCAAGGCTCCTGTGGGCAGGGCCTGCCTACATCTGATTCATCTTTCTATCTCTCATAGCACTTAGCCAGAGACTTTGCATGCAAGGGACAAGAAATGCTTAATGAATTTAAAAAAATGATTTTTTTTTAGACAGGATTGTGTCTTATTTTAGGTAAAAGGCAATAAAGGCTGAAACCAATCCTAATGCCCATGGGAGTTGGGAAATGGAAAGAGGAAAGGCATATTAAAAGACTGAATGCATTTTTATCAGATCCAATCTCCATTTAGCAATATTATGGAACAGATATAATTTCAACCCATGGATTTATTAAGTCATGCTCAAAGGCACAAAGGGGAACTTGGACGTTAGTGCCAGATTTTCAAACTTAATAGACGACTAACATACACACCCAACTGCTGAAACTATACAACTTTGACACAGTGATCCAAGAACGTGTGTGAGTCTAGACATGCACATTATAAATATCCAGCCCTGGCAACAAGCCACAGCGAGATATCGTGTATGACGACGTTAAGCTTCTGTGCACCACGGCATAGATTCTACCTTGCCAGAGACCATCACAAGCAATTTAGATCTGAAAGTAATCTGAACATAAAAGTTGGAGAGCAATTCTTCCAACCAAATAAATAAGAAACGCACAAAAATTAACAAAATACATTGATTATACACTACACTTAGACTCATCTGGAGATGAAAAACGAACTTAATCTCACTCTGACCCCACTCAGAATGCATTCCATATATAAGCCATGTTTAGTGAATCCAAATATTTAACTTTTCCATGACAGCGACAGGGTTAGGGAGAAAAACTTACTCTTCTTGGGCTACTTCACTAATCAAAAGGGATGTTCCTTAAAGCTGCAGGTAGCTGAAGAGTGTGGAAATGAAAGCAGATTTACCTAAGTATCAGACTCATAGCAAGTTCCCATTTTGTCTTCAATTCTTGTTCTTTAATACAGAAGCATATCCATGCAAGCTGAGACATTTCTCTAAACCAAAAGAGGCCACTGGAAGATGTCCATATTAGGAAATCCTGACCTCAGAATCACTGTGCTGAGCCCAATAAGCTTCTGAGTTGCATTTTCTTTCCTTGTACTCAAGCTCAGCTGCTGCTCGCCAACCTAAACTTTTAGGAGCAAAGTGGAAATACACAAACTGGCTGTGCAGAAAACCCAGGATGAAAATGTTGCAAAATCATGTTATTAATCAAGGAGAAAATGGGGTTAAGGTTTACTTTCCTTGCCAATTAAAAAAAAAAATCTTAAAACTCAACTTACTCCTTTTGAGAACTTTTACCTTTTCTAGGAAGACAAGACCATGATCCCCTCAGTTAAGAGTCACTCGTGCCTTAACTACAGAATGAGAACGAGACTGATCACCCTCTGAGTCAGATGGAATGAGCAATGAAATCACCAGCTGCCCCAGTGACTGTCATAACCCAGGTGAAAAGCAGGAAGGGAAACCAGACAGACACTCCTGCATTGGTCATTTGGAATTGTTTACTACATATCATTTAGGTCCTAGCATCCTGCTGGAGCTTCATTAAAAAATCAAGGAGAGCAGAGGAGTCATCTCAATTTACCATGTTGGACTTGTAGTATTCTATGACTTTCCTGTTTCCACCAAACCAAACAAGGATTCTTCAAAACTTCAGTAATACAAATGCCTCAAATGCTACTGAGGTTATTTATATCAAAGAAAAAAAGGTTGGTACAGCATGCCTGGACACCACAAAATGTACTTTCTGGCCACCAGGTGGCATCGTTGATTAAAAGTTAATCAGTCCCCATCATCACCATCATCCAACATTAGCAGCACAAAACTAACCAAAACATAGCATGTGCAGTCTCAACAGCTATGCAAGTTAACTTTGTCCTCATATATGAGACCCAGAGTGAAAGAATGAGGACCCAACAAATACCATATCTTGTTAGAGGTCTAAGTTTTCAATACATGGGCTCCTAGTAAGTCTTACAATCCCGTGATTGCCCAATCAACGAATAATCAACTTACAGCAGAAAATGATTCAGAGGTACAGTATCCATTTCCTAAAAATGAGTCATCTGTGGGAATCAGGGACTTTTAAATTCAACAGCACACAGTAAGATTCCTGGACTGTGTGCTCAGAAACGGTTGATGGCAGAGCACAGAGGAAATTAGCATATAGGACCGGGTAACGTTCCAAAGTCAAGTGTTTTGAATTTAACGACATGTCTTGCTTTGTATTATCTAGATTTCTTCTTTCCTCCCTAAGTATGTAATGAACTCAGCAACAAAATACAGAATTATGAGATCCAGAGAATAATAAGTCTAGTCAATGAAAGCCTGTTTGCCAAAATTTCAAATGTTAAAAGAAGCCACCTAAAATTATCCTGACTTGTGAAACAGAGTAGAGGTTATTTTAAATACCAAAATAAAGATCAAGTATCAGGTTGTAAGACACACTGCTGCCATCTTGAAGGTGGCTTGGCGAAGAGCTCAAGAGCCCTTGTTGGGAGTGAGAAGGCAGATTCTTACTTTCTTTGTCCAGCCATGTCTAGCAAGAGGTATGTATGTGACTGACCATGTCCTGTGGCATTTCTGGGTGTCAGTATCCCCATACATAAAATAAGTAGGCTTGACCCAGATTGAAAAACTAATGACTCTCATTCTAAAGTATCATGAAGCATACCATGAACATCTCTCTAAAACAACTATTTATTTTGAAGTATTTCCTTCTATTTTTATAAATGTTTGACTTTACTTAATTTTAATAATATATAGAATTTTATAGCACATTTAAAATATTCTAACCCGCACATTTTTTTTAATACATAGGAGTAGCAAACATGCCACTCCAGGGATATATGATATGGGACTTAGGTACTCTATTATTAGACTTAAGTCATTTTTTAGTTATCTTGTTTTGGCTGTTATAAATTGGATGGCCATACATCCTAATTTGCCCATATGATTCTGCCACATTACCTGTTGTCCAAGTATTACTATAAATACTGCCCCTTGCACTCTTTAAAGGTACTGGGTTTGAATAATAAATTGTGTGATTATTTTAATTACAAGTAACAGTGGTCAGTGTCTTGATATATTTGTCTTTTTCTATACTTCACATTTTGGGTGTGTATGTGGAGGGGGCAGAATATCAATGGGAAAGAAAAGGTTTTTGTTTTTTTTAAGTACTTTATATATATCATGAGAAACCTTTCATAAAAGGATATACCAATTTAAAATATCATTATTTATATATGAAAATACCAGCTTCACTAAATGATTGCCAGTTGTGTGTATTGTAGTTTTTTATTGCTAATGTAGTAGGGGGGACTGATAACTTATTTTAATTGATATTTATGATTCAGAGGATCTTAAACATGCCACAGTGTACTTATGTATACTTTTTCTGAGTGAATTGTTTGTTCATATTTTTAGTCCAGATATCTATAAAAGTTTTAATATTCTTAGTGAAATAGTATTTTTCATATTTGCTACAAATATGTTTTCTGGTGTACTGTTTCT